GTTTAACTATGTCTTTTATGGTTTTCTGTCTGCTGTATTGGTTCATTTTTGATACAGGGTGTTGAAATCTCCAGTTTTGATGGTGGATTCTTCTATTTCTCTTTGAAGTTCGATTAGGTTTAGTGTCACATAGTTTGACGATCTGTGTAAGGCACATACACATTAAGAGTTGTTCTCTGAGAAATCTAACTCCTATATTAAGATGTAATGCCACTTTTTCTTCCACTCTATCCTTTATGTTTCTGTAGATTCTGTACTTGTTCTTTCTTTCAACCTCTTAGGTTCATTCACTCTGATGTCTTCAGATAACATGGAAATTTTGTTACTTTTCATATCTTTATTGTCAGCTTAACTTTATGTCTTGAATGCTGGAATCAAATATCCAATTGCCACTTGGACATTTCCACAGATATTTCAAATATGATGTATTCAAGTCTGTTTCACTTTTGCTCTTTGTATTTTCTCCCATTTTTCAAACTTTGCTTTGCAGTGCCAGGACCTAACTATCTGTGCTTATGTAGGTAGTTTGAGAGTAAAACTCTTTTTTAAATTCTACACAGCAAATTACTACCATATTTTATTTCTGCTTTTTCTTTCCCTGTTTCTTTTTTACAGTGTTAAGTCTCTCTTCTGTGTGCTTATTTCTCTATGTTAGAATGTAGTTGGTATTCTGTCGCCCTGTTTTCCTTTTCCCTCTGACTCTCCCTAAAAGCCTTTTCCATTCTCCTTGTAGTGGATGACTACTAAAGTGCAAATAAAGTTATGTACTTACAGGACCACATTATTTGCACCCTGTGGTTTAGAAAGTTGCAGTGTACACCCTGGTGTGGACACAAGCAATCCTTTGGCACATAGGAAGGAAATTTTGGAATGCCTTTGTAATGTACTTTTAATTCATAAGTAGTTAAAAAACGATAACTACATAAAATGTTTTACTGTTTGAGATAGGTCCCATATTTAAGTGCAGAATCATTCTATAAGCAGTTGCTTCAATATTTTTTTTTCCTTATGCTGCCCAAGATCATTCACTCAGACATGGTGCTGTGTGTAGTTCATTATTGTGGAGTGTGTTCTTTTGCGTTCTTGTGAATGGACTTTTGCTGTTGCCTCATATTCATGAGACCACACACTTCACATGGAAGAGTTTAACATCTTTGGCATTTGAGTGAAGTGCAAACTGAATACAAAATAAAACTATATTTTGTATTTCTTTCTTAAGCCAGGCTATATTGAACTTGTGTTTAAATTTGTTCATCTAGCACAATATTTCAGGTATGTATTTATATTTATATCTTCATACCTGTTTATACTCTCCTTGGAAAAGAAAAGTTTTATTCATCCTTTTATCACTAGCAACAAGGATATTTCTTAAGGTATAAACTAAGTTTTCTAATAATATTTTTAGTAATAAATAACTTATTATGTACCAGGTTTTTATTTCTCCCATTCTATAGAGTACAAAAATGTGGCATCTTATTTAAGACACACACGACACATGCACACACAGAGGCGTGAACGCCAAGATTTCTGTTTTGTGACCCTGGGATGTTGACTTGAGTGGAGAAAAATATGTCATTACAGGAGTTGGTGTCATTTGAGGATGTGGCTGTGGACTTCACCTGGGAGGAGTGGCAGGACCTGAATGATGCTCAGAGGACTTTGTACAGGGATGTGATGCTGGAGACCTACAACAACCTGGTGTCACTGTGTGAGTAAAACTCCCCAGTAACTTTCAGGAGAAACAATTTCTTTTTTGTTCATAAACATAGGAATCATTTATAGGGTTTCACACTCTTTTGGTAAAATTACATTTCTTCAAAGTGCACTCTCTCTCATGAGGTTCAAATTGGCCTCTTCATTGCACAACATCTGAAGGTGAGCTCTTGCCATTCTTCCAAGAATCAGACTTAGCACTTTTACAAAGTCCTACATTACTTCTCATTAACAGAACACTGTATTAACAAAGCTGAGGTGATTGTCAAGTTAGAAGAAAGAGCAGAGCCATGGACAATAGAAGAATGCCCAAACCAGATCCTGCAAGGTTTCTCAGCACATACAGTGCACAGTGCAGAAGCCAAGAAAAGTAAAGCCCGTTAGATGTTGGAAGTGTTCAGCTGTTTATAGCAATTTTTTCCCCAAGTCTCAGACTTGAGGATGGCTCATCTGCAATCCTGTATTGCATAATCTCCAAGGTGGAGTGTCCCATGTACATCCCGATATTTTATCTTGCTGAATCTCTTTTGTATATACCCAAAATCTATTTCCTGCATTTCTCTTCTTTGACATTTATTTTTCCTATTTGCTTTCTTAACATTTTCTGTTGTGCTTGTGTCTTCAATTCTCATGTACTTTTTTTTTTATACTGTATCTGTTTGTTTTGTATTGTTTCTGACAGAAAACCTGTAACTGGGTAATTTATAAAGAAAAAAAATCTTTTTCTTAGAATTCTGTTCTGGAGGCTCAGCATTCCAAGTTCAAGGGGTTGCATCTGGTGTGGGCCTTTGTTCTTGTGGGAACTCTTCACAGAATCCCAAAGTAGTGCAGCGTATCACATAGCAATTCACTAAAAAAATTGGAAAAGAGGTACAGCAATGAGCCTTGTACCACCACATCAAAAATCATGAAGCTGAGGAAAACCCTGCATGGGAGAATGGAAAGGGTGGTCCTTGACTTTCAAGGAAAACCAGGAAATTCTGGATACCAAGGCTATGTGAACTAAGGGTTCCATGTTGAGGGGATAAGGTTGTTGGTTGGGGGAGGAGTTCGAAGTTAGCAATTTTGTTTTCTTTGTGGAAATTATTCAGGAAAAAAAAAAAAGAAATTTGCAGGAGACTCGTTTTATGAGAATAGAATACCACCAAAACTTCACTGCACAAAACAAAAGCATTCATAAGAAATGAATTATCAAGTGGTGGTCCACATACCAGAAATTGGGAATAGAATACAAGTTGATTTGAGATGTCAAAAGAACACATTTCAAAGATGCGGGAACAGCCTTGGATGCAGAATCAAATATTTTAGAACAGAAGTGGTTGTCTGTGGGGGGAAAATGACGTTTCCTTTATTGTAATGGCTTATGAGAAGCAGAAGAAGTCAGGTAAAGTGAAAAGCTTGGAGGAAGCTATCTTTATCTAGCGTGGAGAAGAGAATATTTTATTCCTAGAAAATTTTCCACATTCCTATAGCCATTTTCTAAGGGAGGAGTGTAAAGCATATAAACATAAATGCAAAATCCTTATCCTCAGCCATGTTCCTGCACATGTGATAAAAAAATTGGCTCACTTCTATACCTGAAAGTAGCTGATGAAGGAAAACCTAGCCATCTTCATAGTGAAATAATGAGAAAATAGCAGCAGGAGACAACCATTGTTGTAAAAATAAAACAGAGAAAATGGTGTAAAGAACTGAAAGGTACTTAGATGAAAACTACAAGTAGGTAAAAAATAAAAATTCTTAATGAATATTTGCTTATAAGTTAAAATTTAACAACAATGAACAAAAAAGGGGGAAAAAACATGATACAATGTTAGAAAATATATTACTATAGTAGTACATTGTTAGAGAAAATTCCGTAAACTCATAAAGCCAATACTCATCATTGATTTTTTTTTTTTTGTCTTTTTGTCTTTTTGTCTTTTTCCGTGTCCGGCAACGGATCGCAACCCTCAGTGTTGCCCCTGTACCGGACCGGGGACCAGCAACGGGATCGCAACCCTCAGCGCCGCCCCCGTGCCTCACTCAGCCAGTGAGCGGGAACCGGTCTGTATGTGGGATCCGAACCCTCGGGCGGGAGCGCCGCCGCGCTTCCCAAGCGGCGCACTATCCAGTGCGCCACCAGGCCGGCCCAATCATCATTGATTATTTTATAAAATTTTGTTGCTGGGATTGGAAGGCATTTCTGTATGTTTACTTGAGCAACCAACGAGATGTGCTTAAGTGTGGTTCATGATAGTTACTTTTTTGTCATTTCAGATGTCCAGATAGATGATAGCCTAGTGGAGAGGAACCAAGAATGTCATGGCAGATGCTTGCAGCAAAGTGTAATCACCAACAGCAACACAGCAGCTGAGGAGAGAGTTGTGTTAGGAAAATCATTTTATTTGAATTCATATCATGCTTTAAATCTGATTATAAATAATGGAAACTATTCAGGGAAGGGACATGAGGAGTTTTGCATATGTCAGAATGCACTTTTTCCTAGAGAGCCTGATGAGATGCCTGCTGGAGAGAAACCCAATGACCATCATACAACTGGAAAATTACCCAGACATTGTGAGCATCTTAGTCAGCATACCAGTATTCAAACTGGGAAGCAGCCTTTAGAATACAGTGGAAAGGGGAAATCCTCTAACACAGAGCCAATAATATTTACACAGATTCATATGGATGAGACAACATATAAGTATAATGAACATGGGAAAGGTTGTGGTAACTCAGCTGACATTGATCAGGAAATAAATCAGGTAGAAATGAAAACTGTTCAATGTGGTATATGTAGGCAAATGTTCTATAAAAAATCTGAACTGAGTAAACATCAGATTATGCACACAGTAGAGAAACACTATAAATATACTGAATGTGAGAAATCTTTAATTAAGAAATTATACTTTACCTCACATCAAAAGAAGCTTTATGGTTGTACTGAACATGAGAAAATTTCTTGTCAGAATTCACACCTTACAATGCATCAGAGGTCTCACACAGGAGAAATGTACTGTGGAGGTATTAACTGTGGAAAAAGCTTCTGTGAGAAGTCACTCCTCAGCCATCCTGAGAGAATTCACACAAGTGAAATACCAGATGGAGGTAGTGAATGTACAAAATTTTCCTACCATGACTCTACGCTCACTGTGCATCAGAGAATTCACAAGAGTGAGAAACGATGTAAAGAATATAAAAAAAATTCTACAGTAATAAATGTGGTAAAACCTTTCACCAAAACTCATACTGCAGCAGCCATCAGAGAATTGACATAGGTGAGAGACCATGTGAATGTAAAGAATGTAAGAAAGCTTTCTTCCATAAGTCAGTCCACATTTTATATCAGAGAACTCACATGGGTGAGAAACCACATGAATGTACAGAATATGGCAAAGCTTTTAACCAAAAGTCAGAGTTCAGCAGGCATGACAGAATTTACACATGTGAGAAACCATATGAATGCAGACAATGTGGAAAAATTTTGAACCATCAGTCACACCTCTGGAAGCATCAGAGAACTCACATAGATGAGAAACCATATGAATGTAAAAAAGGTAGAAAATCTTTTAGTGAAAAGTCACACCTCTGCAGGCATGAGAGAACACACACAGGTGAGAAACCATATGAATGTAAACAATGTGGAAAAGCTTTGAGTGGAAAGAGAGAACTCAGCAGGCATGAGAGAACACACACAGGTGAGAAACCATATGAATGTAGACAGTGTGGAAAAACTTTTAAGTATAAGTCACACCTCTGCATACATCAGAGGACTCACACAGGTGAGAAACCACATGAATGTAAAGAATGTGGAAAAACTTTTAACCATAAGTCACAACTCTGCATCCACCAGAGGACTCACACAGGTGAGAAACCATATGAATGTAAAGTGTGTGGGAAAGCTTTTAGTGGAAAGTCATATTTCACCATTCATCAGAGAACTCACACAGGTGAGAAACCATATGAATGTAAAGTGTGTGGGAAAGCTTTTAGTGGAAAGTCATATTTCACCATTCATCAGAGAACTCACATGGGTGTGAAACCATATGAATGCAAAGAATGTGGAAAAGCTTTTAACTACAAGGTAAGCCTCAGCATTCATCAGAGAACTCACACAGGTGAGAAACCATATGAATGCAAAGAATGTGGAAAAGCTTTTAACCGAAAGTCACACCTCAGCAGGCATGAGAGAACTCACACAGGTGAGAAACCGTTTGAATGTACAGAATGTGGAAGAACTTTTAACCGTAAGTCACACCTCAGCAGGCATGAGAGAACTCACACAGATGAGAAACCATATGAATGTAGAGAATGTGGAAAAACTTTTAACCATAAGTCACACCTCAGCATTCATCAGAGAGCTCACACAGGTGAGAAACCATATAAATGTAGAGAATGTGGAAAAACTTTTAAACATAAGTCACACCTCAGCAGGCATGAGAGAAGACACACAGGTGAGAAGCCATATGAATGTAAAGAATGTGGAAAAACTTTTAACCGTAAGTCACACCTCAGCAGGCATGAGAGAAGACACACAGGTGAGAAACCATATGAATGTAAAGAATGTGGAAAAGCTTTTAGTGAAAAGTCATACCTCAGGTGGCATGAGAGAACTCATGCAGGTGAGAAACCACATGAATGTAGAGAATGTGGAAAAACTTTTAACTATAAATCACACCTCTACATCCATCAGAGGACTCATACAGGTGAGAAACCATATGAATGTAAAGAATGTGGAAAAGCTTTTAGTGGAAAGTCATATTTCACCATTCATCAGAGAACTCACATGGGTGTGAAACCATATGAATGCAAAGAATGTGGAAAAGCTTTTAACTACAAGGTAAGCCTCACCATTCATCAGAGAACTCACACAGGGGAGAAACCGTATGAGTGTAAAGAATGTGGAAAAGCTTTTAGTGGGAAGTCATATTTCACCATTCATCAGAGAACTCACACGGGTGAGAAACCATACAAATGCAAAGAATGTGGAAAAGCTTTTAACTACAAGGTAAGCCTCAGCATTCATCAGAGAACTCACACAGGTGAGAAACCATATGAATGCAAAAAATGTAGAAAAGTTTTTAACCACAAGGTAAATGTCAGCATCCAGCAGAGGACTCACACAGGTGAGGAACCATATGGATGTAGAGAATGTGGAAAAACATTTAGCTGAAAGTCACATTTCAGCATTCATCAGAGAACTCACACAGGTGAGAGAAACCATATTAATGTAAAGAATGTGGAAAAGCTTTTAACCAAAATTCCCAACTCAGCAGCCATCAAAGAATATGCATAGGTGAGAAACCATGTGAATGTAAGAAATGTGGGAAAACAGTTTACTGGAACTAACCATAATAGACATGAGCAAATTCACACATGGGAAAATGCCAATTTACGTAATGACTGTGGGAGAAGGTTTTGCCATGAATCACATGTCACGTTTCATCAGAGAATTCACAGCAAGAAGCAGCCCTATAAATGCACAGCTGTCCCTTGGTATTGGAACCATCCCTTGGAGGATGGTTCCAGGAGCCCCTGTTGATGAAAACACTTGCAAATGATGAAGCCCCTTCTATAAATGGTGTGCTGTTTCAATATTACCTGTGAACTTTTTTCTGCATCCTTTGCGTCTTGTATAGAATATTTGTATTACTGAATAGAGAAGAAATTCCTTGTAAATAGTTGTTATGCTGTGTTGTTTTTTACATGTATTATAGTTTTATTTTTTTCTTTTGATTTTTGTAAGTGGTTGAGTCAGCAGATGTGCAACACTCAGATATAGAAGGGGGTCAATAATTGTGAAAACATCTTTTTTCAGCAGTTACAGGGCTGGCTATAGTTAGTGTATTGCTGTTTAGAGCATGGTGGTGATAACACCATGGGTCCCTGTACTGACTAGCCACTGGGGGAAAAAATGAATGAAAGAAAGAAACGTAAAGTAAAAAGAACTCACTGCAGCAGGCATGGGAAAACTTACATGGGGGAAATTCTGCATGGATTATACTGGGTATTTTCTATAAACTTTTTTCTCTTGTACACATGCCTGCAATCTCAGCCTTTAATTATTGTCTGTGGGACCATGTATTTTAGCTGTTTTCAGGGGAGTATGGATACAGGTGATAAACATTACTTCCAGGCCAAGCAATAAAAAAACAATGTTTATGCATTTGTCTCTGATTTCTCATTCTCTGGGACTGAAGGTCAGATGACTCCTAGGGTAGAGTCAGGGGCCATAGGTGAGCGAAATTCACCTTAATTTAAGACAGATTGAATTGAAGAAACCATAGATCTTTCCAACTCTATCCCCAAATCCTCTCTACGTACTTTATGTAAGAAATGCTTACTATGGTTTGCCATTTCATGTGTGGTCTCTTTGTGTTACAAGTAGCCCACTGTGCTGACTTTATGAACTTTCTGAGAGAAGTTACCAGTTATTGAATATGAGAATATTTACACAGAAGAGAAACCTATATTGTCACCTTTTACACTGAAGTCTGCTTATGGGAAAATTCAATTATGGGGAGAAACAATCCAATAAATATGGAACACCTTACCACACATGGACTTCTCATTGAACGGTGACAAGTTTATCTTTGTCAATATCTTTTTTTTTTTCTTTTTGTCTTTTTTCGTGACTGGTAACGGGATCGCAACCCTCAGTGTTGCGCCCATACTGTGACCAGCAACGGGATTGCAACCCTCAGTGTCGCGCCCGCACTGCGCTCAACCAGTGAGCAGACCAGTCTCTATATGGGATCCGAACCCTCGGCGGGAGCGCTGCCACACTCCCAAGCGCCGCACTCTACTGAGTGCGCCACCGGGCCGGCCCTTTGTCAATATCTTTAATGTGTTAAAGCTTTCAACATAACTTTCATTTTTATATATCAGATAACTTGAAGTGAAAACTACCAATTTATATAATGTGAATGCAAATTTTCACAGAATTGATAAATGTAGGATCAAAACTTTTAAAAGTTTTGGCTGTCAACAGTTACATATGAGTAGTGATATTGCCTGCCAGGGGACATTTGGCTATGTCTGAAGACATTGTTGTCATAACGAGGTTAAAAGGTCTAGTGGAAAGAAGCCAGAGATGCTGCTTCACAGCCTACAATGGACAAAACAGCCCCAAGTATGTTGCATTTATGCATATGAGTCTTATTTGTTAAAAATTTATCTTGATAGAAGCCAACATAGCTACAGATAGGATATACTTACACATCGTATGATAGTGTAGCTTACATCAGAATTTTTTTATTAGCCTGTTCATTATTACAAATCATACTTATTCTTTATGCCCCTTATCCAATCTCTACCCTTCCCCTTACCCTTTTAATCACCATAGCTTTTTTCTCTTCATAGATTAACTGATCTGTTGGTTTGTTGCCTAGATGATCTGTCCAGTACTGAGACAGGTGTGACCAATCCCTCCCCTATTATCATAAATCAGATGTTTCTTTTACTCTGGAGTGCTTTGTGGGGAGTGTTTTGTTTTGGTTTGGTTTTATCTCCACTGGTGCCTCTCGTGTCAATGCAGCTGAGAGTCTGGTGTACCATCTGCAGAGTGGCTGTGACTGCTGCTATAAAGCAGCAATTTTGGTGGCTATGTGGGCTTCCTGCATGAAAATGGTGTTTTTGGTATGCTCTGTACCTGGTTGCAGCTGGGTTCAGCTTCCCCTGACTCCATATCTTAGTACCCCAGTGTGGCCCAGGGTGGTGGTGGTGGCTTTCCTAGTTCTGGCTTGGTTCAGCTTTCCCCAGATCCATGCCTCCAGACCCTAGCAGGGCCCACACAGTGGCAGCTGCTTGCCCAGTTATTGGCTGTGTTCAGCTTCCCCTGGCTCCATCCCTCATTCTAATGGGTTGTGGAGCAGTTAGTGAGGAGAAGGGGGAGGGGAAATAGGGTGGGAAGAGGGGAGATGAGGAGGAGTATGATTGAGTCCTGTGACCTCCGTCATCCGTCCCTCATTGGGGGTCTGTGCCTGAGGCCCTTGGCCCCTCAATGCCCTGGCTCAGGGGCCCAGGGTGCTTCCTGTGGAGGATCAGTGGTCATCACTGGGCAGATTGTGTAAGTTGGATGGGCATGGCTGTGTACCTCAGCCATCCCATCTCCCTGGCTTGGGAGCCCAGGGGCTTCCAGTCCTAGGTTTTATAGTTGTTCTTTGGTTGTGTTAGACCTTTACTAGTTAACATCAAACTTTGTCTCTGATCTATGAGGATTTTTTTTTTTTTCGTTCACTTCTGTGTTAGATTATTTCCGGTTCCCACCACTTAAACTCTGCATGGAAATTAATTTTTTGTCCTTTGCTTACTTCTAAAATGGAGGAAGTTCCTGTGAGGACCACCACTTGAGCCCTGTGGCTTAGCTAAATTGCTGCTTTGCTGCTGATTCCCTGGGGAAGGCTTTCTGTGCAGCTCATGTTTTAATGGTTGGCCTTTTATGTACTTCCTGGTCTCATGAGGTCTGGTTCACCTGGGTTGTGTGGAAACTCTGGTCTTGGCCTGAGTCTTCAGCAAGCTACAACCCCAGCAATTCTATATTCCTGACCACTCTACACTGAGTGATCCTGTGCTGATTGGAAAGCAGATCACCTGTCTATGCAGTGCACCAATGCTCCCCTGGTGGGCCCATCTCCCCAACTGCCCACACTCCAAGCACTTCCCATAGGACAGGCCATGCACTGGTCCCTTGTCATGACTCACTGGCTTCTCAGTGGATACTTTTTTCTGTTGTCTGTAGCTCCTCACTCCTATATGGGTCCAAGGAAACCCTGTTAGTGGTATTGCTGGCCTGGGTGCCACTAAGTCCTTCTCCCCTGCCACTTTCAAGCAACTTCATACAATGGGCACAGCTGTGGCTTTTCACATCTCTTGCTCCATGTGTTCACAAGCTCCAGACTTAAAGTGGCCGGAGCTCAAAATGGTGGGAGTGATCCTTTCCCATCATGGCTTCTCCTGCCTTCATGAACTCCATGGGTCTCTCCTCCTCTTCTCCTGAGCTCCAGCAGCCCCAGCTTGGCTGTCATTGCTTTTTAATGGCTGTAAATTTGTTGATTTTCCAGACAGAGTGATGGTGGGGACTGTCTATTCTTCCATCTTGACCGGAAGGCTTACCTCAGAATTTGTGATATTAAATGCCACTTCTTTATATTTTGTTGAATTTATTGTCTAAAGTACTGTGCTTCTTACTTTATTCCCACTCTCTTATTATAGATAAATTTGTATGACCATTATTAAAAAACTCTCTCAAGTAAATGTAATTTTTTCTAATGTTTGAAGCTAACACAGAGCCAGTCAATGGGTTGAATAAAGATATTTCCATGAGAATCAACAGATCAGGCACATAACTGTTAAGAGATTAAATCTGCAATCATTCAAACTGCTATAAACAGTAGTATTTATTGTATTCTATTTAGTGAGAATTAGTGTCTGGAAGGAAGATGTATTCTCTATTCCTATTCCTCAAATTCTTCAATAGGACAATATAATAGATATGATTGTGTGTACCATGTGCTCTGTGCTTCAGGAATATCTTGTGTTTATATCTGCAGTGATGGAGTACTATGTTTGTATCTTGCCACTAAGGGGCAACACAGTAAATCCCAGTTTCACTTGTGTATTGCCTTGTGCCTGGTTCTACTTGCACATAGGTCTGCAGACCTAGCAATGGCCGCAGAGCCTGTTTTCACTGAAGAAGCCCCCTGGAGTCTGCAGTATTCACTTCTCTGTCCTCCAAGCCCTAGTGAAGGGAGGAAATCCAGGCCCCAAGGAGGGTGATGCAGTTTGGATGTGTTGTCCCCTCCAAAACTCATGTGGAAATATGATCCCCAATGTGGCAGTTTGGGAAACTGATTGAGTCATGGGGGTGGATCCCTCATGAATGGATTAATGCTCTCCCTGGGGAAGGAGGGAGGAATGAGTGGGTTCTTGCTCTATTAGTTCCCATGAAAGCTTGTTTAAAACACCCTGGCATCTCCTCTCTTGCTTCCTCTCTCTTACTTCCTCTCGCCATGTGATCTGCTTGTACCTGCTGGCTCCCTGCCACTTTCCACCATGCGTAGAAGCAGCCTGAGGCCCACACCAGATGTAGCTGTCCCAAAATCATGAGCCAAATAAACGCTTTTCTTTATAGATTACCCAGTTTCAGGTATTTCTGTTATAGCCACACAAAATGGACTAATACAGAGGGGTAAAAATGAGTAAGACAAAATGGGGTCCAGCATAGAACCTGAGGTGGGGCTGAATGCAGGTGTTTCAGGGCCTTGTTGGGCAGAGAGGTCACTTCCACTTGCCACCCTTCTGTCCCCAAATCTCTAGTATCAGTGGCAGAAACTACAGCACCAGTATTTATCATTATCCACTCTGTATTTTCTTTTTTCTGTTCTTTGGGGGTTTAATTTTTCTCTTTCTCTTGTTTTTTAGTTGGAAGGTTAGCTTTTTGATTTCAGATCTTTTCAAAGTATAGATATTTACAGCTATAAAATGTATTC